ACGACGGAGGTGGCGCCGCCGGTGAAGAAGCGGTCGGAGAGCCACGCGGTGTTGAATGGGTCGACGGAGTCGGTGGGGCCACCGCAGTCTATGTGGTAGGAGAGTCCTCCTGTGAAAGAAAGAAGAAGTAGAGTTAGTGACAGTTAGAGAGTTAGTTAAAGTAGTTGATCAGAGACAGAGAGAGAAAGAATGCGCGCAATGGTTGTGGAGTGTGGAGGGTGGAGGTTGTTACCGTAGGGATAAGGTGAGGCAGAGGAGGAGGAGGAGGAGATGAAGAGAGAGAGGGAGAGGGAGAGGGAGAGGGAGAGGAGGAAGAAGACGAGGCTCATTCTTTTCTTTTCTTTTCTTTTTTTCTTTTTTCTGTTTTTTGGAGGGAGTGGGATGAGTGTTTAGGACATGACTGATTGACACACTGATGAAATTGGAGGTTTAAAAAAAAAAACAGAGAAAGAAAGAAGAAAAGGCGGAGATTGGAAGGCGAGATTAGCGGGGAAGACGAATGAATAATAGAATAGAAAGAAAGTGAATGCCGGTCCCGACTTGGACTTGGGGTCGAGTGAGTCGACTAATTGCAGTAGTGGTGGTTCGGTAATTATCGAATTAATTAAATAAATAGTAGTACTGATTTGGGGAGTTAAATCAGGGATTGAGACTTATGTAAACTTACCACTTACTTTACAGATATAAGATATTTTTAATTAATTAAAGAAGATTTGTTTGTTATTTTGGGTGAACTACCAGACTTAAAATGGCGTTGCTGCTGATGCTGAGGAAGCAGTAGGATTTGTCAAATTTTGAAGTGATTAAAGTGTGTTTTTTTTGGGTGTGGAAATATTAGATAAATCAAACGAAATGAAAAGGAACTTGTCAAATGGAACATGTGTCTACTTTAAGTAGAGCACAGCAGGCCTCACGTGAGAGAGTAGTGGAGGATGATGATCCGGACTTGGGAAGCCGGAAACCGGAAATTCGGAGATTGCAGAGTGTAGAAGGAGGAGGAGGAGGATGGCCGTGGCTCTCTACTCATCCGGTGGTCCGGGTTCAGTCTTGCACTGAAACCGATGGAATGAGGTGGGACCCAACACAAACCAGATCTTCCATTAAGATGTACAGTGGCTTTCTTTTTCTTAGTCTGGCAGCCATTTATACAATACAAAGCCTTTTTCTCTTCTGTTTTTACGCGCGTTCTTCCTACTACTAGACGAAATTTCCCTTCCAACTTGCAATAGCAATTAAAAGATGGGACAAAACCCACGTTGCTTCATTATATTTATTAATTAAAACGAAATTAATTAAAAGTTATAATTATTAATTTTGATTTGCAGGGTATAAATAAATTCGGACAGTGAATGCGATATGAAGACAGTCACCCAACCCAACCGCCGCCCTCAGCTCTGCTACACAATCAACTGATATTAATATCCTTAATTATTCCACTAATTAAGTGTGGGTGGGTGGGTTGAGTATTTCATTTTGAGATGAGTTATGATTATTAGGTCTGATTGGTTCATGAAAAAGAAGGTTTGGGGATAAAAAATTAATTGATTTTTTATGTTTGGTAAGTCCAAATATGATAAATTATTGCCTTGCACATGGGAAAGTAATAAGAAAGTGAAACCATTCTCCCTCCATGGGTTTTATTTTCCTTCTCATGAGAAAGTTTAGAAAAATAAGTCAACATAAAATACGTATTTTTCATGGTCATATTGTCTCCTTAACAATTTATAATTACAATATAGCATTAAATACGCCTTTTTCATGATTTCTCCTCAAATCCGTGAACCAAACAGAGTCTTAAGGTATCAAATGAAACTATCAAATTCTTGCCTTTCGGATTGTGTTATGAGTGGCACAATAATTCAACAGGACATGTCAATTAAGAATTTAAGATACAAAACAAATACCACAAATATAAAAGCATTTCTTAAAACAACAACTGTCCCCATTTAACATGTCAAATCACGTCCCCATTAACATTATTTAATTAAACATGACTCTGCTTAAAATGACATCATGATAATACCTTTAACTTCGACCTGTTATGTATGTTATAGCCAAGGCTTTCTAGTGGCACCAATCAAGAATGAATGACTTTTAGAAATCAAAATTTCATGTAACACAAACATACAAACAGAACCATGGTGAGGTTATATATGTATATATTGATCGTGACATTTTCATGAAAAAATTTCATTAATTTATAAAGAGCACAATCAAACGAATTGTAATTAATCCATGCCCTAATTAAGAATAGCGAATTTAGCTACAAATGCGTTTCCTAACATGAGAATTTGTATGGTAACAAAAGTGCTACATATGGCATAATAAATCAGGATTGGGGCAAATGAGATTCATATGGCAAATGATGTGACGCGACAAAAAATGAATCACTAATTTACGACGTAGATAGTTATTGCCAATGTCCGTGGTGGTTGAGAGCTTGAGAATGAGAAGAATGCTCTACGAAATTCTAATATTTGTTTTGTATGATGTAATACAACAGGGGTGAGGTGGGGGGGAGATAATGCCAATGGCCATTTGAATAATTAACACAACTACACAATTAATCAAACGTAAGCGAAACCACCGTTGATGTGCATTCTAGGTCTAGCTGCCAAGCCAGGTGGAATGGAATAATGGATCTTATTCCAAGTGGCATGTGGAGCAGCACAACACAGAACCCTCTTAATCGCTCATCTCCAGCTGTATATCATCCAGATCAAGATGGCAAAGCTAGTCTAGAGTTGCTTCTATCTATGTGGTCCCTCTTTTAATTTTTTATATATACAAAAATAGTCTTAAATTATATTTTAAATTAATTTAATATACGAAAAGAGAAATTCAATACAAGAGGTTAACTCGCTGTCCTAATCTACTGACCTGGCCAAACCGTCAACTCTACACGGTCTTCAATTTATAATGCAATGCATGGCTTGATGGCTTTCCCATTTCTCAGAATTATGCAACGGGCGAAATCAAATTCAAGTAGAATAGTAGCAGTAGAGTGCATTTGTAGCAAGTGTCTGCTTTAATCACTGAATTACGGAAGCTTCTTTAGCCTTTGTTTCCATCCTTAATATAATGTCGACATCCAAAAGCTTTAAATTACATTTTACCATCCATCCATCGCTCCCCATAAAATAGATACAGATGCATTCACGTGTAATGTACTGGGATTTGCTTTGCACATTCATTCCCTTAATTATATTTTACCATCCATCCATCGCTCCCCCACAAAATAGATACAGCAAAAAAAAAAAATCTTATCTTATTTGCTGCTAATTTCAGGCCACATTCCCTTAACTTCAACTCTTAAACAACGCCGCTGCCGCGTCTCATTACTCTAATTTTATATTCAGGAACAGACCCATAGTGGGGTCAATGGGGTCAAACGACCCTATGGACTCCATGAACGTAAGGTAGAAGGTCCATTTGAATCTGTATGTGACCCCATGAATGGCTGAAGGAGGAGCTGCAAATCTGAGGAAGAAGAAGCTGAACAGGGGTTCAGTTTTTTTAATAAAAAGAAGCTGACCAAAACGGCGTCGTTTTGGGTCAGCTTCTAATTTTTTTTTAAAAAAATCAGGCTGGCCAAAACGACGTCGTTTTGGACCAGCCCAGCAAATTTTTTTAAAAATGCGCTAGATCCAAAACGGCGTCGTTTTGAACCCAGCGAATTTTTTTTTAAATGCGCTGGCACAAAAAGGGCGTCGTTTTGGACCAGCAGTAACGATTTTTATTTTTTTTTAAAGACCAGGCCAAAACGACGTCATTTTGATCCAGGTCTTTGGAAAAAAAAAAAAAAACAGATTGTAGTTGAAACAAACCCTTCTCTTCGACCAAACAGAACAGACCCTTCTCAAAACTCCAAAACCCCCATTTCCTAAACCTAAATCCCCAATCTCCACCCACCCACGAACCTTTAACCCTCTCCCCACCAAGCTTTAATCTCTTAAAAAAAAAAATTGAACTTTTACACTATGACTCTACGAGTTCATATTCCTGGATCCGTTCCTGCCTATATTAACCCATCCCAGTAATTCATTTGAACGAGACGACATGACGTCCACCGTACGCCTCCTATCGTACGGCCCATTTGTTGCCTACCGTGAAAGCTAACCATCCACCACAAGATGGCCACACCTTTGTCCCCAACACTAGTTCACAACTAACAAAAGGACGCGTCTTTCCAGCCTGGCTTTTGCCTTTGCGCCACTCCCTCCCTCTCTCCTCATTCTATTCTCTGGAAAGAAATGAATGCAAAATCAATCAAAGTATCATCTCTCCCCTCTCTCAGACTCCATTTCCAGGGCCCCACAAAATACCAAAATTACCCTCTCACTAAAACATCCCTTCTCTCCCCTCCAAGCCACACTCCACTCCACACTTTATAGTCTAATATCTAATTCCCCTTCCCCCTCAAATTCCCTACCCCCCCAGACCATGCCACCGGACCATGGTCGCCTCTATTTCCTCCTCATCGTCCTCGTCCTCACCGTGACCGTAAAACTTATGGCGACATCCACCGCCGTCGAGCTCCCAAAGTTTCGAGAAGCACCTGCATTTCGGAATGGACGAGGATGTCCCCGGACCGCCTGGTCCTCACTGGACCAGCACTGCCACTACAACCCCTCCATCATCCACATCGCCATGACCTTGGACACCACCTACCTCCGCGGCTCCATCGCCGGCGTCTTCTCCGTCCTCCAGCACGCCACGTGCCCCGAGAACATCGTCTTCCACTTCATCGCCGCCTCGCACCACAATCGCCGATCCTCCGACCTCCTCCGCCACATCATCACCTCCACCTTCCCCTACCTTACCTTCCACCTCTATCACTTCGACTCCAACCTGGTGAAAGGCAAGATCTCCTACTCCGTACGGCGCGCCCTCGACCAGCCCCTGAACTACGCGCGAATCTACCTCGCCGATCTTTTGCCGTCGGGCGTCCGCCGCATCATCTACTTCGACTCCGATTTGATCGTCGTCGACGACGTGGCGAAGCTGTGGAGCATAAACCTAGGGAGGCGCGTGCTCGGCGCACCGGAGTATTGCCACGCCAACTTCACCAACTACTTTACCCCGAAATTCTGGTCAAACGCGGCATTCGCGGCGTCGTTTAAGGGTCGGAGGGCGTGCTATTTCAACACGGGGGTGATGGTGATCGATCTGTGGAAATGGAGGGAGGGAAAGTACACGGAGAAGCTGGAGCACTGGATGAGGGTGCAGAAACGGTGTCGTATATACGAGCTGGGGTCTCTGCCTCCGTTTCTGTTGGTTTTCGCTGGTGACGTGGAGGGAGTGGAGCACAGGTGGAACCAGCACGGGCTTGGCGGTGACAACCTGGAGGGGCTGTGTAGGGACCTTCACCCTGGGCCCGTGAGCCTGCTGCATTGGAGCGGGAAGGGGAAGCCGTGGTTGAGACTGGACTCGAAGCGGCCGTGTCCGTTGGATAGCTTGTGGGCCCCCTATGATCTGTACCGTCATTCGTCGTTGTTCTCTGATAGCTGAAGCCGCATCGTGATTCACGGAGGCTTGCGCTATGTCCGACGATCTCTGCTCAGCTGGCACGCGACGGGGGCGGTGGGGATAAATCCGACAATATGAATGTCCTTATTGTCTGGGCGGGTTTAAGGCATCGGGATTTACAGCGGTTAAGGGGGAATTTTACTGGAAATGGCGGGGGTAGTGTTAGTGGACACGTGTTGAAGAAAAAGGAATGGATTTTGACGAGGAAGGTGATAAATTGTCGGTGCGTGGTAAGAATTTGAGATATCTACGAAGGCCAAGTAATTAGAGTAGGCGAAGGGGAATGGCCCAATGGCCCAATGGGTGGGTATTTGGTGAAGATTTTTTTTGGTCAACTATTTGGTGAAGATTCGGAAATGAAAGATGCGCATTCTTTTTTGTTTTTTTCGTTCTTTTGTATGTGTAAAAGGCTAAAAATAGATATTGTAAGTAGTGGAAGTGGAATGTATCAAAGGTGTTTACTACTTTTCACTTTTGGAGTACAATCATTGAAAAAGAAAAAAGAAAAAGTTTCTTCCCAACCTACCACTTGTTTCTTTTACTGTAAATACGGGGGCGTTTTGGTTGTTAGGAATTTGTTAGAATAATGTTCGGTTTTGCAAATTAAAATTGGGTGATACATACTTACTTGTGATGAAGAGGACTTATTATAAAAATAAGCAAACAGCTCCTGTGTACGGAAGGCATATATCGTTCATGAGTTTCTAGTTTTTAATGGGATGTTGTGATGCCTCGGACCTGAAAACAGTGAGAAGCAATGATTCGATTTTTGAATAAAGAAAAGAAATTATTATGTAAAACATACTCTCATTAATTTGAGGTTGAGGAAGTTGCTATGAAGAAAGACTTCTATGAAATGGGAATATCATTATTTTGATATTCCCGATCAATAACGCTCACATAAGTGATATAACATTATTGATTAAAATTGCAAAATACAACTAAATATTTCTCGCTGCGATGGCACAATGGCCGCAACCAACCATGGTGCAGTGCAGTAAAAATTGAGCCACCGACAGCTGGAGTGGATGACAAATGCAGTCACCTCCAGAGCTCCAACCAAGCCCATTGTCTAAAAGGCTACAAGGACAACAACCACCGTCAACAACTGACCACAGACAGACACATTAACTTAGATGCAAATTAATAATAATATAACAGAAAAGGAAAGCCCAGCACAAGAAAACTATTTGTTGTGCTTGTGGGCGTTTTTCTTCTTCTTCCATTTTCATTTTTTGTTCATGGGCTTCTGAGTCTGAACAGACAAATGAAATGAGCCAGACTTTCTCTATGGGGGGCAAGTTCAAGTTGTGCCTTCCTGGGTTGCATTGCAGGGAGCTTCTACAATAAAGAGTTAAAGTGAGGAGTTAAAGTGAGGAGACCGATCCGATCGTTAAAATATTTAAAATATTTAAGTTCCATTATTTCTTTACATTCGTTGATGGTGAGATTTGACATCCTCAAATAACCTCCTCACTTTAAGCCATCATTATAGCCTTTCTGTGCATTGCAAAAGAAAGTTCAAACATGGGTTTTGCTACTTTCCCCAAGCCCAATTAGTCTTGTTTTTTGTATTTTTCCATACACGATGCACGTCAAAATATCAACAACTCCTTCTTTCAAACAGATGATTTGTGCAGCATGAATGTCCCACTCCAACTCTGTGCATGTGTTGACGTGTCAATCTCTCAATTTTTTGGTGAATTATGAGCCATCAATCCCATTGAGCCATTTCCCTCCACAAAATAACGGTCACTAGGAAAATAAGAGAAAAAAAGAAAACACCTTCGAAAGAGATAGAATCTCAGATTGAAAGACATTTTTTAAGTAAGCCAGCGACTATAGGTATCTGGATTTTCACCCATACAAGTTCTGAAAGCCTCTCTCTCTCTCTCTCTCTGTGTGTGTATGTACAGCCATGGCTGCTACTGTTGCAGCCGGTGGAGTTAGTATAGGAGTGGCCAAGCTCCACCCTCACAAATCGAAACCCACATCACCATTTCTGGGCAAGAAGCTTAGAATTAATAAACCCAGTTTCGAACCACATCCCAGTTCAAGATCAATAACTGTCTCCAACCCGAAAACGTTGCTGGTTTTCGCCTCTGGCGGCGGCGAGTTGATCCATGCGGTTCAGGACCTCTTTTTGGGCGTGGGAGTGGGGCTTCCGTGTACAGTCATGGAGTGCGGTGATATCATATACAGAAGCACTCTTCCAAAGTCTAATGGCTTAACACTCACAGCCCCTGGTGCTATTTTGGCTCTGAGTGCCCTATCTTATCTATGGGCCACTCCTGGTGTGGCTCCTGGGTTCTTTGACATGTTTGTGCTTGCTTTTATTGAGAGGCTTTTTAGACCCACTTACAGGAAGGTTAATTTTTGGCTGATTTTTGGTCTGATTTTGGATTTTATTTGGGAATCTCAAGTTTGTTTTGTGTTTGGTTTTGTGGGACAGGATGATTTTGTTTTGGGGAAAAAATTGGGTGAAGGAGCTTTTGGAGTGGTTTACAAAGGTTCATTGGCTAATAAGAAGTCTTCTTCCAAGGTATCAAGTACTTAATTGAATTTCTTTACATAAATTTGTTATTTTACTTGGTCTTGTGAATGAATTAAATTTTGAACATATCAAATGGATTGAGTTCAAAATTTGAGTTATATGATTTCAACAAGTATTGCTTAATTTGCCATTGCAGTCATTACTTCAATTTTGATTTGTGTCAAAAGTCTGGGTTTCGATAAGGAGCTCACTTGTATTGTCAAATGGGCAGTGTCTTCTCACATTGGAAGAAAGAAAAGAAAAGAAGAGTATGAGAATATGATATGCTAATATGTTATGTCTTTTGGTTGTCACTAGAAAGAAGGTGACTTTGTGTTGAAGAAGGCCACTGAATATGGTGCTGTGGAGATTTGGATGAATGAACGTGTGCGAAGGGCGTGTGCAAATAGTTGTGCTGCTTTTAAGTACGGCTTTCTCGAGGTGTTACTCTATAATGCCTACTAGTACCATATGATTTTAAGGGTATCATTATCTCTAAAGATTGAAAAAGAATTCTTTGATAGCTCATTCCATTGTACATTCTAGTTCTCTCCCCATTATAAGAATTAATACCATGAATCTTGTTGCAGACTTCTTCAAAGAAAGGAGCTGAATATTGGCTTATATGGCAGTTTGAAGGGGAAGCCACACTGTATGATTTGATGCAAAGTAAAGACTTTCCCTATAATGTTGGTACTTTCTCTCATCAGCCTTTTTGGTTGCCCTATAAATTGCCAGAATTAACCATTTTTGGTGTGAAACTGATGATTTCTTTGTCATAATTAATATCCTAGCAGGCAAAGTTCGAGAAATAGTTATTTGATTATTCAGTTGAAACTGGGATTGCACCACTATTTTCAGTCTAGTTATTAATTATGACCAAAATTTAGATATTCTTTACCAACAGTATGCCACAAGCTTCCATGGTTCTTCCATCATCTATGTTTAAACTGATCTTTGATTCAAAAGGAAAATTTTGGAAAAATTAATGATAATGGGACTTGGCATGTTAATTGCTGGTTACATGTTGCTTCTTATTTTTACAGTAAATTTTGGTTTAATTCCGTTCTACAACTGTTAACTTCACTGATGTTCACATAAAATCCAGGTAGAAACCATGATTCTTGGAAAGGTCCAGGACTTGCCAAAGGGTTTGGAAAGGGAAAATAGGATCATTCAAACAATTATGAGACAACTGTTATTTGCGTTAGATGGTCTTCACTCAACAGGGATTGTACATAGGGATATAAAACCACAGAACGTTATTTTCTCCGAAGGTAATAATACTTAATGGCATGCTGTATTTGAGTCAATGGAGGAACTGGAAAAGTTCAATTATTCTCAGAGTTTAAACATTTCCTATTGCTATTTTAACAATGAGCAGGCTCTCGAACATTCAAGATCATTGATCTTGGAGCTGCAGCAGATTTGCGAGTTGGCATAAACTATATTCCAAAGGAGTTTCTTTTGGATCCAAGGTAAACCTCTACTTGAAGAAGACAATGAATGATGAGTTTCAGTTTCTACTTTACATCTATGGGCGAAAGAACTAAATTTTCAGCACTAATATAGTTAATGTCGTCTGGAGGGTTACCTTAAAATAGTATCAGTTTCGTCAGGCTAATGCACCTTGAAATGATCCTAAGTACTGATAAAACAGAAACACCCACAGTTTAATTTGATTTGCAAAAAATTATCCAGATGGAGGCCAGGGCAAAAAATATTTTAAAAAGTTTCAGCAAAAAGCGTGCAGTTTGTGAAGTTTGTAATACATGAGACTTGTATGTTAATCGAATATATGATATTTGATTTCTGAATGAATGCTAGCTGAATCATCAGTCTTAAAAGTGTATCCTTCTGATTTACATATTTTTAGTAAGTATCCTTCTGATTTACATATTTTTAGTAATACCTAGGTTCAGTTTTCTTATAGCATCTCACTCAAATTGATGTAGTGTTCTCTTATCAGAAGGCTTTCATGATGTCTTTGGATCCTTCCCTTTTCAGATATGCTGCACCAGAGCAATACATCATGAGCACACAAACGCCATCCGCTCCCTCTGCTCCAGTGGCAACAGCACTTTCCCCAGTTCTATGGCAGGTGGAATATTAACTGTGAATTTGTTTTTGATTATAGCTAGCTTACTTTCGCAGGCAGCTGACTGCTTTAATGGTTTTTGATTATATGGTCTTAAACAGATGAATTTGCCTGATAGATTTGATATCTACAGTGCTGGGCTCATATTCCTACAAATGGTGAGTGACAAAAATTGCTAGGTAGCTATAGTTGTTATACTAACTAATTGACTGATACTCATTCAACTTCTCATTATCACACGCGTTCAGTTTGATGTTTATAAATATGGGGGGTTTGAAGGGTTCATACTGCTAGTCTTCTTCCTGTAGGCATTCCCAGGATTACGGAGTGACAACAGCCTAATACAATTCAACCGTCAACTAAAAAGGTGTGATTATGACTTGGTTGCATGGAGGAAAACCGCTGAGCCTCGTGCTAGCGCCGAACTACGAAGAGGTTTTGAGCTGCTGGATTTGGATGGTGGAATTGGATGGGAACTCTTGACATCAATGGTTCGATACAAAGCAAGACAAAGAATCAGTGCAAAAACGGCTTTAGCATATCCTTACTTTGACAAGGAAGGCCTGTTGGCTCTGTCCTTGATGCAGAATATGAGGCTGCAACTGTTTCGATATACACAACAAGATTATGGGGAGGCTGCCAAATGGATTATTCGGCTAATGGCAAGATCCGGAACCCAGCAGGACGGTGGCTTCACAGAAGCTCAGCTCCAAGACCTCAGAGTTTGTACCTGAACTAAGTTCAGAAATCAGTAAACCGTATTCTTTTGAGGATTTGTATGCACAGTGATCTTTATTTCTATATTGTGCAGGAAATGGAGCCTAATAAGAAGAAGGCAAGTGCTTCAAGAAGAAATGCTCTTGCTTCAGCTCTTTGGCTCCAGAGGAAGATTGTAAGAACATTGAATGAGAGCATGGATGAGATTAACCGACGTAGGAAGAGTCTCTGGTGGAGCAGGTGGATTCCCAGAGAGGATTGAAGTTCGTGAAGACGTACTTTTTTTTTCCTCCTTTTGTAAATGTTGTGTAGCAGTCTCAACTGACCAACTTGGTGATATAGAATTATGTTTAAACATGACAGCAAGTAGCTGGAATCTAATAGAAACATACCTCGAATACTGGCTCCTCCCAAAAAAAAATCCCATATATTTTTGAGCACACGTGCAAGGACGTAGAATATGGATTATAAATCTTACGACACGGTCCTCCATGAACTGCAACTGCAAGCAACCATTCTCAGTCCTACTTGACCAAAAGAATAAAAATATTCCGAGTCTTTCGATGTCAAGGCTGTGTGAGCCTGTGATGCACTTGAACTAGGCAACATGATTATGCTGCTCGTGTTCTTGCCTTTTTACCTTCTTTCTCTGTCATGGCCTTCCTTTAACTTGAATATAGGATCAAGTTTTAAACAATAATTAGTAACTTATTCCCAATTTTTACCCTAAATTGTTGTCATTTTATTTCTAGCAAATGGACTCGGCAAACCTAATGCTCGTAGTTGGACTTTGGGATGGATCGACGGGTCCGTCTCTAGTGTGATTTGGAGTTGGTCATTTAAGCAAGCAATCTCACCCTTCCACAGACAGCAAAACCAGTTGACCAAAACCCAGTTGGCCGAGTTGGGCTTCTTCCTCTGTGTTTCATAGATTTTTCATTTTCATTTTTTTGTTTGCAGAATTCCCCATTTCGTCAAAAGTTGCTACACTACGTAATTGTATGATTATCTTAACCAGGAACTAGCCATGCAAATGACCATGCTGGCTATGTGGTCAACGAGCACGAACACAATAATTCACTAGGAAATTGAAGTGTACGGCAATTAAAAGCTGTAATTGACGCACATTAATTCAAGAACGTGGCTTAAAATTATTCAAATCAAAGCTTCCTTTAAAGAAAAGCCTGCCAAAATCCGATATGCATGTAAGAATACAACTGTAGTTGCCACTAAAGTCCGTACAATCCACAGATGTTTTTTCACATGTTCATGGTTGATGCTAGCTAAGCTTTTAGTTGATTGCCATTTTGAATTGGAATTTGAAATTGCAGAGGAAATGCCGTGGAAGGAAGCACAACACAACATGTTGCAGAAGGAAGGAATTGAGTTGAATCTGAAGTTGCTTTTAATAGAAGCATCAAGAACAAATATAATTCAGGGCTTTAGAGATAAGATAAGGTTTAATATTATGTTACAGGCAATGACATTGTAAATCACGAGAACTTCACGTGCAACTTTGTCTGGCCTTCTTGCTCAGTACAACCAAGCCAGATTATTATTTTTGGTTCAAGTGCATTTGGAACAACAGACATAACATGAGACGCTTTGAATATAGTGCTCTCAGACTCAGAGATTAAGACTAATTAGCACCAATTTCTAGCTCTAATCTGGGTGTAATCTATGATTTGCCTGATTAGATATTGACAGCTTAAAATTGCTCAGAGAAAGAATAAAAAATGGAAAATTTTGTTATTGGAAGTTGGCCTCCTGAGAAAAAAATGGGAGGAGCACGAGACAGAGCAAGTGGGTTGGTTTGCTTTGCTTCTGGTGAAGCATAAGGTACCTATAAATTAATCAATCACTTGGGTTTTCAGGTCTTATATAATTGCTTCGCTTTGCTTGGGAAATCTTGGGCCTTTTGATCCACTGCAAAATGCAAATGGCTTCATCATCATAATATATTTTTTAGTTGCCCTTTCCATATATTCCTAGTGTCTCATTTAGCACACACAGACAACTTTGTCTGTCACATTGCCCACCAAATATTTCAGTCTCTGTTTAAAGTGCAAGCTCTGCAAATCTTACTCTCTCATCTGCATGCCCTGTTGCCTACACTGCAAATAACATATATATATATATGTATATAGCATCATGAGATGAATCAGCAGATTCAACTTCTGGCCTTTATTCTGAAAGAACAAGCCGAGCAGAAAAAAATGTCCCATGTTTTAAGAAACCCACTTCTCCACAAGCCTTGTTTGTTACACAGTGAAAGTTTAATGACATCATCTTTGATAGAAACCAGCCAAAAATGACAATGAACTCTCATCATCTGCATTTCTTGTGTGCTCACTGGTCACCTAAAATATGCAATAATTGCCGGAGCATGGTACAGGGAAAGCCTAACATTGCAATCAAAGCCGTTGTCTTGTCCCTACAGATATGGTTCTGCTATTTATTTATAGTCCCCGTCTAGTCTATATGATGATAAGCTGAAGTCATTAGAGTCTTAAATCATGCTGATTAAAGTTAGTTAATATGCTTTCTTATGTAGGATTCAACTTCTTCCCACCTCCTATCCTAATCCTATTGCCTGTTTAGGTGGATCCAACAAAAAAGTTAAAAAGAAAAACAACAAGGAAAAGCACTAGAAAAGAGGGGAAATTTTGGTGTTTGCTGCAGAATTATGACCTTATCATTTAGAAAATTTGAAGGCTCAGCTCATAAACTCCCAAAAAAACAAACTTGCTACCTTGTGGTTAGTAGTGGCCGACCCATTATGCTGGTGGGTAATGCCTACACAAACATATTGATACATTTACCCAAATAAAAAAAGAGTAAAATAAAATAAAATATGATGTAATAGTCCAAATTAGACCTATGTAGGCATAGCAATATTACATGTGAGGGGGAGAGGGAGAGAGGGGTCCCCGTCTTGTTTGGATTGTTTTATAATTTTCTTATGTGTTGCTTGAGGTATGGATTCCAAAGTGGGTTGTGGGCTCCATTTGGGGTGTTGTCTGGTGAGCTTTGGGGCACTTCACACCCTTTCATGCCCCATCCTTGGCTCTTTTTTTTAGACCAATCTGATCGTGTGAGCAATTGGACCACACCCCTCCTCCTCTTTCTATAAAGAAGCTGAACCCCCCTTTGGCCTCTGCACTTTGAAACCAATTCACACGAGCACATTCCCTCAAAAACCCTCATTTGACTTGGAAAAACTCAGCACCAGTCAAAGAGAAAAACAAAACAGATTGTAAAGATATGAAGATTGTGAGCAATTCCACCATGGCAGGCAGCAAGAGAAGGCTTTCTTCAAGCAAAGGACTTGGAGGGGTCCTCAGAGAGCAAAGAGCAAGGCTTTACATCATAAGGAGGTGTGTGGTCATGCTCCTTTGCTGGCATGATTAATTCAAGTCCTAGCTAAAGTTTTAAAAGTCCCAATAGTCCATGGCATGATGGGCAAGAAGATTTTGGTTCCCTTTTTCTTCTTCTTAATTTCCCCCCGTTTTTTCTATCTTGATCTTCTTGGTTGAGTGTAAATAGCAGCAATGTTCTTCTATCAGGAAGTTGAAACAAAATTTTGTATGGGTTGGCCTTGCGGGGCTAGATATGTACATCGGATAGCATAATATAAAGTTTGATATTTATATTGCAAGCTAGAGTTGTTGGTGTTCCTCATCCTCTCTGTATATTACAAGCTTGAGTTTGTTATGTTTATATGATTGAGCTTCAATGATCAACATTCATGTGATTCTGGCCTTAAATTTGGAAGAAAGTTCCAAACTTGCAACTATGAAGATTCAAAAAGAGGGGGGTATAAAGTTTCTTCAATCATCACCTCCCTAAAGCCTCTGCTTTACCTCAGAAGGTCAAAGCAACTAAAGCCTAAGCTTTTCACTTCCTATAATGAAAGTCCTCTTGGGCAAACCCTCTTGGGCTTAGCCTATAATGAACTTTTGTTTGTTAAAATTGAAGATTCACATGCATGCCCATCCCAAGTTTTCTTCCTTTTGAGAGGGTTTTCTCAATCTGTTGATTCAAAAGAAGAATTATGAACAGATCAAATTGGTGCTAATCAGCTTAAATATCTTCTCACAGTGTTGTTAAAGGAAATGGACCATAAGCATTCTCATATTAATCATTTAAATTTCAAGTGAGGATTGGATTTGGAAATTGTAGGGTTCATTCAAACTGTTCACTTCAATCCTCCACATAATTTGTGCTTTTTTGGATTGCATGTCCAAAAAGTGCAGAGACCATAAGATGATAGATGCATTCATAAGTAATACTTGATTTAGTCGGTTGATGACAAAATTGTACCTGGGACCAGGTTTAATTAAACTTAAACAAGCAATTGCAGTTGGGCCCATCATCACCAATCACTATAACATTATAAGCTTTGATTGTGATCTTCTTGTCTTCAACCCCAACAGCACCAGCACCACCAGCATACCCTCAAAATCAATCCCACCTAAGCTTTGTCTTCAACTAAGTGAGCGCCCAAACATGGCCTTGTGAACACAGCTTTTCACGTTTGGGTCAAAACCCAAACTCAAAGCTCCCCCTTGCTTTGTGGGCCACTTGAATTATTGGATCCCAACTCCTGTTCACGTGTGCCACGTGTACGGTAGTCATGGGCCTACCCCCAATATTATTCCCTTTTGTCTCTTCTTTCCTTATTAGAGGAAGAAGTAGGGAAGGGTTAAAAGGAAAAAAGGCCAGCAGCTTCTACTTTTGTTGGAGTCATAAGTAAACTCCATCTACTCTCCGGAGCACCATAATACTCTACGCACTTGCATAATATGTTGACACGTACTTGCACAATGGTAACTGGACACGTGGCATACGATCTATTATCTTTGTAAAAACCAAAAACAGCTCTATTTTGTTGTCGTTATTTATTTTCTTCCTCTTGTTTTGTGGGTCAGAACGTCAGATGCACAGGAGCTGAATATGCAATCTTATATTCTGTTGTCGGCCACATAGGATAGTGCCACCTCTCTCTATGTTTTCCTCTCTTTTTTATGTAAGTTGGAGAAATACTTCCTTAATCCCGTTTAATTGTCTCTTTCTTCTTATTTGTATCCTCTTTAACAAATGACATGAGAAGATAAAAAAGGAAATAGGGCAACTAAACAGGAATGCGAAAAAATTTCTCCTCACAGAGGGAGGCTTTTAGGATTTCGAGAGCTTCTATAATGAGGAGTTTAAAGTGAGAAGTTTATTTGAGGGGTTTAATAGCACCATCAACCATCAAACCACTTAAAATGTTTACGTCCATTGATTTTCTCATATTTGTTAATAATAAAATTGAACCCCTCAAATAAACTCCTCATTCTAAACTCTTCATTATAGCTTTTCTGCAGTATTTTAGGCTCTCTCTTCTCTTTTGGGCTATTTCAGCTATAAAAAAAAGCCCAGAGGTCCCCCGACAGAAAGCAATTGGGTCAAAGCAGCCTTATCATGCCCACGTGCGCCTCCCCAATCTTCAACCCCACCACACAACCGATTCTATTTTAATCAAACATGCGGCCCACGTGTGGTCCACACTTAGCACATCCACATCCCCTGTTCTCCAATAATGAAAATGTTAAGCATCGTAATAAGTGCAAGTGTAACATGGATGATATGCATTATATCCAATTACCCATCCACATCAACATTGAATATGGATAAGTACGCAGCTTCATCATCAATCATGAAGATGAAGAAGATTCTCCAATACCCTTTTGCTGTTTTCTTTGTAGGATTATAAACAAATTATTTAGGATGATGTTAGCATTAATACCGTGTGAGTGCGTAACTCAATTTCAGGTCTCACACTCATCAATGACACTTTAATACTGGTGGGTGTCACTAAAATGCTACTGAAGATAACTAATCACGATTGATCGGTGATTACACTCAATTCCTTGTTAGGATGTGGGTGGATTATGGAAGGGAGAGTTTAGTGTCTTGGCATAGTTATCATTTAATTAATCATGTTGACTTAGAGCTTACTTACATTCTTTGGGATTATTGGAGAAAGATGGGTCCTGGTGTGTCCCCAATGTTAAGAAGGTGGCCTATTAACTCTATATGGTATAAATATACGATATAGGATAGAAGATTATGTTGTGCCGGGTGCCAACCAGGTTGCTGAATCTCATCTCTAAGGCCCCTAACTGCATAGCATGTATACACGTATTGTTAGCAGCTGAGGTCAGGTAATTACAATCATTAGCAACATATTCTTAATGTCTTATTCAAACTACTGATTAATTAAGATTGAATCATAAACTAATTTAGCTTCAAAGTAATTCAAGAATTTTTTAGTGGCATTTCTTCAGTTAAGCCAAAAAAAAATTTGCCAGGGTGCTGTGGCCCTCTGTGTCTACTCTTTGGCCGCATCAAGGCATCAAAAGAGAAGACCAAGGCCCGGCGGCACCGGACGCTTTTGCAACACAAAAGGGTACGTTTCCAAGTGCATATTGTGTTAAGGAGAAAAGCTTTAGGTAGGTCTTGCTAATACAACAAGGGTGGGTGCCCTACTTTCCAACAAGGGTACTTACCCTACAACATGCTTACCAGGCCACAAAGGGTGCTTGCTAGGCTAGGTCTTAATCTGCCTTCCCCACCAATCAAGATCATGCCTGCTCATCAACAAGCACTTGGAACCTCAAAAGTGATTAATTCATAAGCAGGCTAGGTCCGGTGGCGCTAGGCTAGGTCTTAATCTGTCTTCCCCACCCGGCAAGATCATGCCTGCTCATCAACAAGCACTTGGAACCTCAAAAGTGATTAATTCATAAGCAGGCAAGGTCCACTGGCGATAGGCTAGGTCTTAATCTGCCTTCCCCACCAAGCAAGATCATGCCTGCTCATCAACAAGCACTTTGAACCTCAAAAGTGATTAATTCAGCTGGCTAGGTCCAGTGGTCTCTCAAGCCATTTTCAAAAGCCAACTTGCTTGTTCTATAAAGCCCTCTAAGTTGATCAATGTCTTATTGGTCCAAGCTGTGCTTCTCATTTTATTACATGTCAGCAATTCACTAGTGCTTTCCTTGGCATAAAGTTTCCAATAATTTGCTGGTCCACACGTTTATGTACTTTTAGTTTTGTTTTTCTTGCGCTTTTTCTATAGTTCAAAATCCAGAATTTCCATTTTAGATGTTCAACATAAGTAAAATGTCCTGCTCACATCTTAAAATGCAATTCACTACATAAGCACTTTGCTGGAAGCAGCAACTAAAATTAAGCCTGGTGAATAAGAGAATTAATAGGTTTATATATTTGGATGTCAATGTTTCCAATCCAAAGATGCAAAGCAAACCAGATAAAACAACTGCATTTCAGCTTGAAGCTTAAAGAGAGCAGAAGTGTAAGTTTGATCAATGCTCAAACCCAAAATATCGGTGAATTACAGTTACAAAGAGTCTTTTCACAACAGATATCACGATTCAAGCTGTTTGGCAAAAGGTTAGATCTCAGAACCTGTAGATGATTTGACAAGCAAAATTAAATCAAAATGTAGCTACAAAATATTTACCACCATGTAACCATACTCAACACTAGAAAGCCCAAACCATATTCAGTCAGCCAACTTGACACCCCAAGAAAGGAAACTTTCCTGTGACCCGAATTCCTACAAAACCGAATGAAGAAATGCATTGCCATAACAAAATGCAAAGAGAAAAAATTGACTAAAAGAATAAGAAGCAAAATTAAATGGCAGAGAAGGTGACTTACGAGCTGGCTAAGTCGGAAATCTGGAGGTGTATCTTCTAACATAATATTTGCAGGATCAAGGACAATATTTTGGCACTCGTCTAGATCCTTCTTTAAATTCTCTGGTCCCAGCTTAGCATAATCAGCAAGACGGGGTTTGACTTGTGCTGGTTCACCATTTTCATGTCCAGCCCTAATTGGAGATTGACTCTGAAGAAGATCATCACACAGAGACAGCCCTTCCACAAGTTGTTGCGAATCCAGAAGATTCTGTGACTCGCTGTCCCACCATTTTGGATCTTCCTCAGCATTGTTTTCAGTGTTATTTATTACTTCATCGGCTTCATTTTCTACGTTGTGTTGATCATAATGGTCAGGCTTTTCAAATTCAGGATGAACTTCATCTTCAGCATGGTCCATCTCAGGATGAACTTCATCTTCAGCTTGGTCCATCTCCGGATGCTTCAGTTGAATACAGAAGCCACAAAAATAAGCCCATATCAGTATCTCTTTCGATCATTTACATTAAATCATAAAAATCTTAGGCAGCTTTCTTATATCTTAGAAACATGCCACTACCAATTACAGCATCCAACATCCCTTTTCTATTAATGGAGAGAGTATCCATTAGGGCAAGAATGTGAATGCAGAAAGTATAATATTTAACTCTTCAATTTGAGTATGTTCGACACAAACAATAAATATGTCTTGAAGCGCGGTTAGCAGAAAACTGGAAGTAAACTAAAAATCAAATATAGAAAACAAACTATACCTGAGGAAAGGGATCTCTGGAAGTAGTGCGCGGAGGTTCAGGAGTCACCGACTTGGGAGTGACTGGATCTACTTTTGTGATAACCAGATCAAAATTTTCAGGAAGATCTTGATCAGTTTTATCAGCTTGCTTGACTTGCTGCTGCTGGTAATATATTTTAGATATAACATACTCTCCATCCTTCTCATCCTCCTCAGTTCCCAGGTGATATTGATGCATAACCCAATTGGTTTTCTTAGGTTTGCCTCCTCCGACCGTGCTCATGTAGAGAACCATAATCTTCTTACATCCTCTTTGAACCCCATCCAACATCACTGGTTTAGTCCTTCCAGTCTTGTGCCAGCGAACATCACCATCACCATCATGTATTTTTCGGCGCTTTCGGGTTCCAGTATTGTAAGCCTTAATTGCTCTGTGAAAGAAGTGGGATGCACTTCCATCTTGCTTAACACCTAAAATTTAATTTTTCGAATCAATTAATAAAACATTAAAGACCAGCATTAAAGCAAAAAATAAATGTTAGCCACTTACTTGGTAGTTTGTGAGGATGGGAACAACAAATTCCTTCATCATCATCAACAGTTATGATAAACTCATCAATAAAAGGATGGGGTTTCAAATCCTCTGCACCAGATTTTGCAATTAAGTGCCATATAATCTCTTGATCAGTTGGATCAAATTTTACACCCTTGGGTAAACCCGGCCACTCTTGAGCAACCTGGAAAGAGAAATTGCAAATGACTTTTGTTAAAAAAGAAGATCCAAGAAAAAGAAACAAACTTTCATTAACTAAATTGTTGGAAATGTTTTCCAACAAGAGCTTCTCTAACTGATGGGTTTTCATTGATGAACGTTAAAAGTGTAATATCTGGATGAAAAAACAAAAACAAGAATCTTACATCACTATTGTCAATCGTATATTGGCAATTTGGACAAGCTCTAGTTGGGTTGCTTTGCCACTTAATTCTTTCAGGATCACAGGTTCCAGATGCACTCTTGATTTTTGTGGCGATTCTATTTTTGTCCACCAACCATGATGGTCTGAATAGATCACACAAATTATTACACTTGAAAAAATCTGCTGCTCCAACATATGGATCAGAAAAATTCTGTAAACTCTGAACCCATCTTAATTAAAACCAGATATTCTAATTAAACTGGGAGTACACTGAAAATATACATAATGGTATAACCAGCATAGGACAAAGACGATTGAGAAGAAACAACATATGAAATATTAATCAATCATAATACGCCACCAAAGTATTAAAAGTGCCCAAATTATCAGAACACACACAGAGGTGTGTCATTGCAAACTGTGAATACAGGTGACCTCTGACTCGATGAGAACACAGCAAAGCTCATACTATTTAGAGGCTGTTTATGTTAGCTCAGGTGCACACGGCCTCTTCCATCTCTTGGAAAATAAATGTATTACACATTATTATGAATCCCTCTCTCAACCTTCCCACCTAAATATAATTAAGGGTACTATTTGAAACAGAATAAAAACCCTCTGAGGGCATAACGATTAATACATGAAATATACACACATACCCACAAAAAACGAAAAAGAAAAAAAGAGAGATTATGGATCTAAGAGCATAGCTCAGCACTCAACAATGACAGCAGAACAATAATCATTGCTAAACATTCAGCATGGCTCTCAACTGAACGAAAGTAGTTTACACTTGTCAGAGCTTAAGCATTGTCATTTGTCAATTGATAATCCACTGTCATTTAAAGCTTACAGATTGATTGCCACTCACTGACAAAATATTACATGTCCTAAATCGATAACTGTTTTTCATGGTACATTGATCAGATGAACACATAAACTATAACAAATTGAATCAAAAACTCAGAAAATTCCATGATAAATCTGAAAGAAGCATCAATAAATAAATATACACACAATTTTAAAACAAAAAATAGAAAGCTAAAAACTCCAAAGTCATCCAAAACAGGCCCAAACTAAAATAGCAACAGAGAGAGTCGCATACCCAGCCATAGGTGAGCGATGACGATGAACAAGCCCAACTCAGAGTTCAGAGCTTCAAAGGCCGCCGACTTGCTTCTCTCTCTCTCTGCTCTTCGTCTACTTCGACTGACCGACAGATTGACTCGAACAAGACTTCAGGTATTTATATTTAACTCGACTTTGCAATTCCCATTTACCTCGTATTTTATGAAAAAAGCAAGAACTAATAAAATATTTCTTTTTAAAATTTGATTTTTGAATATTGAAACCGCGTGTTCTTTTCTTCAAACAAATATATTATATTATATTAATTTTCTAGTTTCAATAATTGTAATAAGAAGAGGGCGCGAAGAGGGGAAAATGGCGACTTGGCGTTAACTTTATTCATTAATCGCTGTTGATCGAAAGTACGTTAAAAATTAGGTATTAAACATAACAATCTTTACTAATTAGGATTTGAGATATAGAGTATTTTTGTTTTGGTTTTAATACTTATGAATCAAATTTTGTTTTAGATATGCTCAAAGAGGAGACTCAGATTTGTTGGATATGTCTAAATCAATTTTACCCTTTTGTTTAAAATCATATCTCAGCCCCTCTCTCTCTCATCTTCCTTATTCACTTCATCGACGACGACGCCTTAACGACGCCCTTTCTTTCTCCTCTTCCTTCTTCGCTCAATCAACGACAACGACACCCGCTCTCTCTCTTCTTCCTTATTTGCTCCATCGACGACGACATCCTCTCTCTCTCATCTTCCTTCTCATGCGAAGCTCTGTTTTTCATCTAGTGATAAGATTTGGTTTCATATTCTTATTTCAATTTAGTAGTTATGTTTTGGTTTGAGAAGTTGATTTTGAAGTATTTGATGTAGATTTTGCTCTCATTTCGCCTTTTGTAATAAAATTTGAGTTTGGAGGTGCTTTTTTGCTAGTGATATTATTGCTATTATGGGGATGGATGAGCTTAGTGAAGACGATAAGTTGACAGTCGCATGTGCCTGTAAAATTCAACGTTTCTTGAGCCAGCCGTTCCATGTTGCAGAGGTTTTCACTGGTGCCCCTAGAAAATAGGTGGAGTTCAAAGAAAGCATTACCAGCTTTCAGGTATCCTTTCCTCCTCTCTCCCTCTCTGTTCTGTTTGCATGTTTCCTCATTTCTGATATTGAAGTTTTGTTTATTACTTTGACAATTACTGGTGGAATTCATCTCTTGGAGAAACTATTAATTATATAGTTATGGTTTTCCATGATATTTTATTATAACAATTAATTATGTATGTTCTGAAATGATGGAGTCATTAAAGTATTAACACGAGTATACGTTAGAAGTGTAGTGAATCCATGAACTTTATATAGGTACCCATGCTACCCATATTTCTAGTATTGGACCAGTCAGAGAAGGCAAAACTTCTTTCTTTAACTGTACAACAAGATCTTTGTTGTCCTACAAACTCCATCTAGTCTTCTTCTTCCAAAGGGAATACTATCTGGAGTAGATATCTACACTATTAGTCGGCACTCTTATAATATGTAGGTAACTATTGACTTGTTTATTAGTTTATGGAGCTGCTTCCTATTGCTGCAACATTTCTTTTCATAAGGGAAGAATAGAAAATTGTCTAATATGAACTGTAATCATAGATACTTGTTGGACCATCGAATTCATCTATCTTGTAACATCCTGTCCCAAAATTTAATATAATTTTCAAAATTCTAAAGTGAAAGGATGACTTTAATCTTAGGATTCTTTGGTGTGTGAGGGTTTGTGATCAAATATATGTATTCATGTATGTTAGGCAATGATCTAATTTAGCTGTAACTTCTTATTATAAAGCTCACTTACTATGCATTTAACTTGATTTGTGTAACACCCCGACCCTAATTTATTTATCCAATTAAATTATTAAATTAATTTAAATTTGAATTTTACAATTTTGTCCTTGGGGTAGTGGTAAAATGGTCACTTTTAATCCGAAAGGATTTTGGGGCAGTAAGTGGTATTTTTTTAACGTAGATCGTACTGAGATGAGTTCATAGATATGTAGTGGGCTTGATTTGGAGTTGTAACGAAAAAGTTACGATCAAAAGAAACTCAGTGGCACAATCGTAATTATTTCAAAATGAAATTTTTATAAAAACAGAAAATTCGCTCTCTCTCTCCCCCCTCTGGTTCGCACGACCCTCCCCCGGTACTGTTCACCGACAACCATTTTTGGCCACCGCCGCCGCCACGGAACACCACCGGCCACTAGATCGGTCGGGTTCGAACCGCCGCCACCCCAGCAGCCTTTCCTGACCAACTCCGATGTTAGCCACTGCCGGAATCCGTCGGAAAAAGCCACGAACAGTTGTCGGCTTCGTTCGTCGTCGTCCAGCTACCGTTTCCGACGAATGAGGTATGCTTTCTCACATATTTTTCATAATCTAGCTGATGATTGGGTAGGCTTTCATCAATTTTGAGCCTAGGTAGCTTGATTTTCGAATTGGATTTCGGCCGATTTTTGGGTAATGATTCCGGCCACTTCCGATCACTTTTTGGGGTAGGCCTAAGAACAAAAGTGACTCCAAATAGGGTGTTACACCTAGGATAGGAGTCTTGAACCGTGATTTTGAGATTTCCAGGCGAAGTGTTATCACTTTGGACACCCACGCGCTGCCGGCGTGTGTGGCGGTGCGTTGGCACTGTAGAAAAAGGGCATTGTGTCCAGATGTGATCTCCTGATTCTCACGATCCATTTGAATCTCGAACGGATTTCTCCTATTGTACGTTATCCGGGTTTGATAGGTTTGAACCATTGGATCGTTTTGAATTTAATATATGTTAAGCTAGGCATTCCTAGGACCGTGTAGGAATTCACGGATCGCGGATCGGAGCCCCGAATATTCCGATCTAATAACTTAAAGTTTGTGTTTTACAATAACCGTCCGATTGTACGATCCAGAGCGATCCGACCGTCCGATCTGGACTAAACTTGGAGGATATGCATCCTAAATCTTGTGGAACCCATAGAAATTTTCAGATCGCAAAACGGAGGTCGTTTGACCCTTCGGTTGACCGTGAGCCTTCCGTGGTAGTTTCACTCTTCGAGAAGTACTAGAACGACTGTTATTTGAGTTATAGTGACTATGTTGGGATTTTTGGGATTGCTTTTATTATTGTATGAAAATACTTGGATATTATTTTAATAATTGAAATTATGGGATAGATGAGTATGGGTTAATTGAAATGGTGAATTGTGAAAGTGAGTCGTGGGCTTGGCTATGATTATTAGGAAATGAGTGGACTTTGTTTCAAATCATAAGCATGGCTTTATGATGGAAAAATTATGCATAATGTTTCAATGGTTTATTGAATATATATATATATATATTCAATTGTTGAACTTCTTGTTTTATAAAGCATTTGAAATATGTATTTTTCGGTTTTGGGCATATTTGAGTATTTTGAGTTCAATTATATAATAATTGAGAATGTGCTATCTATGCTGAACATGTGTGGGGTACTTGGGTCCTTGTTGTGAGGCGTTGGAAAGATATGAGTTTAGAATGTCAGTTTGAAGTGCTATTAGCACCACCTTAGGTACCTCACCGGTTACGGAGTATATACTTGAGAGTTTTTCTGTCTACACTATGAATAAATTTTTTATTTTATTTTAAACAACTGAATTAAGGAAGGAAATATCATTTTAAAATATGGTTATAAGGGTTACGAACTCCACCATCATACTTACCTTCCATGGTTACTATACACACACGTACCGTGTTTCAGGCGTGTGAGCTTTCTTGGTCACGGATCTTGGAATTGTTGGATGCCGAAAAATTGTGGTTATGGTTTGAATATGTTGGCACTCGGACACCCTTGAACAGAGGTTCGTGGAGGTTTGAAATATGTTGGCACTCGGACGCCCTTGATCAGGGGTTCGAGGACCCTTAACAGGGTAGTCTGCTCGTGTAGAACTTGTCACAGGCGTACGAGTCTTAAGGGTCTCGGTTGTACGTGCTGACTGAGAGTTCGTCCCCAGTTGGACGGCTCGTTCCCTAGCCGCATGCTTGATTTTCATGTGGTCTAGTTAAACAATTCCCAGTTGGATTGTTTCCCCCAGAACATGATGTGTATCATCATATGTACCTTCCTTTGGATACTGATACTTGAAAACAGTGGAATGAATACTTTGATATGTGGATATGGATACGTGGGTATGTCGGAACCCGGGCATACCTTAACGGGGTGTTACCGTAGACCCTTTATTGGGTAGTCTGCGCGCGTAGGACTTGACACAGGCATACGAGTCTTGAGGGTCTCGGTTGTACGTGCTGGCTGAGAGTTAATCCCCTAGTTGGACGGCTCATTCTCTAGCCACATGGTTGTTGAGGACTCCTCCATGTGGTCTAGTCAAACAATCCCTAGATTGGATTGTTTTCCCTTGGTACATGATGATGGTGAGAGGTGGGTGTGGTTTTATATATATAAATATATGAACACGCATATACATAGGTATATGTGGATTTGTTTCCGGATTGAGATTTGTGAGGTTGTGCTTTGTGACTACCATGCACTGATAGGAGTGTCCGAGTCCCAGATTCGGAAGTGTTGTTTGGCAACATAAGCCTTGGATAGGGTATGGTTGCGCGGAAAGAATTGATAAAAGAAAGGAAATCATAAAGTGTTCGGGGGTTGCCTTGTTGAATTTGATATAATAAGAAATCTAAAGTTGTTCGTTGATTTTATTTAAAAAGGAAATTGTATATTACTGGAGTTGTGATGTTTGATGGAAGAACTACGTGTGGCTTGATCCCTCACAAGGGGTACGTAGGTAGCCTAAGGTCGTACCTAGGTACAGCCGCGGACTAAATTTTAATTATGTTGTTTTATTGAGTTTGGTTCTGACCTTGTCGTTGGTCTTGAAATTTGGTTGTAATCGAGGTGCGATTAAATAATTGTTCATTCTCAAGTTTGGCTAAGGGAGGGTTGTGTAAATGTGTTTTGGTCAAAACAGGTATAAAACCCGTTTTGGTTTATTGTACGATTTGGGCTAAGGCCTTAAACTACATGCATTTAACCTCGCATGATTGAAATTTGGGAAGTTATTTTATGTTAATGGTAGTGGTATTCGTAAAATGATTTGAGTTCCTTAATTGCATTGCTAGTTGTTCTGTTTGGGATCATTTGAAGGCTGGAAGTCTTATCTGTAGATTGTGTGTATTATTACTTTGTGTGTGCTGGCA